CCCGAAAACAGCACGCAAAAGCACCGCGCAGAACAAAGAGGACCACCACGCGCAATCGCCACGGCCGGCCGCGTCTCCCGCGAGCGGCGCCCGGGTCCGTAGGGAGCGGGCCGCTGGGGGCGCCGCGGGAACGCCATGCGTCGGTCGGAAGGGGCCTGGTCGGAAGACGACTGCAAGATCATATACGGCACCATCATCCCCGACAGCGGGATCCCGGACGGAACGCAATTTGACGGGAAGCAAGCTGCCCTGGCGCACCTAGTCGTCGACCTCTGGAGGCAGAAGACCCAGCCCGCCGAGGGAAGGCAGGGAAAAGTGACAGATCTATGGAATTCCGACCGCCTGAATAACCACCGACAGGCACGCGACATAGGCCATGATCCCACAAGGTACAGCCCGGAGTTCCTCCTCGGATTCTTGGCGTCTCTAAACATCTGAGACCCGCTGGCCCCATTCCTTGCCCGTTACGGCCCGAGCACGGCTGCCCACCACAGCACCAAGCCCAACTGCAACGAGATCAGGACAGGCCCACCTCCCGCGCTGCGCAGCACGGCCACGTCGCACGACGCCCAAGCCAGCACAACCCTGGGGGAGGCCAGCAGCTCCGCCCAGGGCCCCACTGGCGGCGCGCCGCCCCCCTCCCGTCTCCGCGCGCCCGTCCCCTGCCGAAGGGCCCCACCCGGGGCGCTGCCCCCCCTCGTCTGCCGGGAACCGCCGTCCGCCCACGCCGTCCCCCGTGCGCAGCGAGCTCGATTCCGGCGACTCTTGCGGAACCGAACCACCCGCCAGCCCCCCAGCGAGCAGGACCGCCCACCAACCCACCAGCCGACGCTCCAGGCCCCCACCGCGGCCACGGGGGAGCGGCGGCGCCGCCCCAGGCCCTGGCATCCGCACGGAGCTGGTGGCAGTAGGGGGCGCGGCGGACGAGCCGGACGGCGAGCGCGCACGCGAGGCTCCTCGGACCGCACCATCGGCGACCTCGGCCCTCGCCCTGCCGCCAGGGGAGGCGAGGCGCCCAGCGGACACACAGACCGCGGTCACCCAACCCGCCCTTCCCACCGCATCGGGCCCCCCGCATCCACGTCAAGTACACGCCCCACCACAGACCCGACGGCAGCCTCCACAAGAAGCCCGGTCGGGACATACGCTGGCACTGCGATTGGAACTACCAAGCCCGCCAGTACGAGTCTTGGCTAGAAGTTGTCATCTGACTGCAAACAAAAATGCGGCCCCATGTTCGTCATCGGCTGCAGCGCTCTCTTCGACTAGCGGGAAAGACGGCCGGGAACGACGTACAACCCCGACGGGCAGGACCACTTCTGCGAGGAGGTCGCGCGCCAGTTTCGTGACGAAAACATTGACCTTCGCCAACTGTGCAGGAAGCGGAGCATATGCATTGACTGGCACACTGCCTGGGACAAGCACGTGCGAAGGATTAAGCAGTTGCATTCTGACAAGGGCAAAGGCGAAGGCAAGGGCCAAGACCCAACGGGGAAAAGCAAGCGGCGCGCCGACCCAACCTGGCCCCACAACGAGCAGACCAGGCAACGCCTTCCTAACAGCCAAACACCATACCCCTAACGCGCCTCCCGGACCATCGGAGAGCGGGACTCGTCACCCACAGCAAGCTGGCGGCCCCATGCGGGCAATGACCCTGCCCAGAGCACTGCAGGGCGGCGCTTCATACACCCTGCCCACCCTGCCCCCCCGGGCCAATCTCACTGGCTGCCCAACACGCCCAGCGCCCATCCCGAAAATGCCCTGAGCCCACCCTGGGGGCACCACGCCACCGTCCGCTCACGTCCAGTTTTTTCTACTCCAATCCTTTTCTGAGCCTACATCTGCTCCTGCCGCGCGCCCCCCCTTGGTGGCGCGCAGTTTCGCTCTGTCCCGGTCATGTCCGCAACCCCCGTCGGGCCTGATGCTCGGGTACGGCCCTCAGTTTTGCGCACCAGTGCGCGCCCACGGCCGTCCATCTGGACCGCCATGGGCGCCCTTGGCCCCCTCGCTCGCCGCCCTCCCGGTCCACCCGGCCGGGGGGCTCGCCGACGTGCGCCGCTAGGTGTTTTCCCCTGCCCGCTCCCCCCTGCCAGCCTTGCTGGGGGCGCCGGTTTCCGACGCTGTTCTGGCTCGCCCAGGCACGCCCGCAGTCGCCCCCCTGGCGCTGGGCGCAGCCCCAACCCCCTCCCCCGCCCACCCTGTCCACCCGGGCAGGGGCTCGAGCTCCCGCTCCTTCCGCCGCGCACCTTTTCGGTGCCCCTCCCAGCCGCCCGCTCTGCCCAGCGTGCTGGGGATGCTGGCGTATGCCGCAGCTTTGACCGGGCAGGGGCTGGCTCTAGCCGTCCACCCCGACGGCGGCAGCGCCCCCTGTCCCCCCTGCGGGCCCACGGTGTCCACCCGGGCAGACCTTCATCTCGACGTGCACCAGATCGGTGCCCACCTCTTTCTCGCCGCCCCACCCCTCCAGACCCTGCCGGGTCCTTGCACTCGGCCGGCCGGCTCATTCCGCCCACCCTGGCAGCTGGAGCCCTCCTGGTGCCCTGCTGACGTGCGCTGGCGCCCTACCGCCCTGTGTGGCTGCGCCCGGCGATGCCGCTGCCGCCCGGCGCCGCCGCCCCGCCTGCGGGTCTCCACTTGCGGGGCGTCCTTCTCCTTGTCCGCTTGCCTGTCCCCTGCTCTCTCTCTCTCTCTCTCTCCCTCACTCTGCGCGCCGCCATGGCGATGGGTGGCTGCTCGCAGCCTGCGTTGCTGCCCCGGGTTTCGTCTTGCCGCCCGCCGCCGCCGCAGGTGGCCCATCCACCGACCGGGCACTCCTCGCTCATTCCCCTCCCTGGGGGACAGCCATGCAGTTTTGACCTTGACACTGTTCGCATCGCATCCAGCACCACTGACAGTCCCAGTGCCCGTACTGCGCCCGCCGCCGCCAGGCCCCGGCGCAGCAGCCGCCGCCTCCCCCGCTGGCGGGGCCGGCCGCGCCACTCGCTCTGGGAGACCCGTCCGCGGCCCCTGATCCCTCTCTCCTCCTTCGGCCGCCCTCCCGGTCCCCTTTTATTTTCCTGCATGGTGGCACAATTCGCTTCAACGTTATCCCCGTTGTCATTGCTCTTCAGCGAGCACAGTTACTCAGCCTAGCGGCCGACGTAAAATTATCCTGGCGAAGGACCCGACCATGTGCAGTTGTGGGTACCGCCATTATAAATATCTTCTTCGGTGGAGCTCCCTATGCGGTGTCAAGCGCTGCACTGGGTAGGGAGACGCATGCGGGCGGTAGCACTGGGGCTGTCGGTGGAGACTGGGTGGGGGGGACGCATGCGGGCGGTAGCACTGGGGCCTTCGGTGGAGCTCCCGATGGGGCCACGAAGCGCTGTACTGGGTGGGGGTGACGCATGTGGGCGGTAGCACTGGGGCTGTCCCTGGAACTCCATATGGGGCCACGAAGCGTTCTTCTGGGTGGGGGGACGCATGCGGGCGGTAGCACTGGAAACGTCGGTGGGGCTCCCTATGAGGCCACGAAAAGCTGCATTGGGTGGGGGGACGCATGCGGGCGGTAGCGCTGGGGCCGCACTGGGGCCGTCGGTGGCGTTCCCTTATGGGTCCACGAAGCGATGTACTGGATGGGGGGGACGCATGCGGGCGGTAGCACTGGGGCCGTCGGTGGAGTTCCCTATGGGGCCACGAAACGCTGTTCTGGGTGGGGGGAGCGCATGCGGGCGGTAGCACTGGAACCGTCGGTGGAGCTCCCTATGGGGCTACGAAGCGCTGCATTGGGTGGGGGGGACGCATGCGAGCGGTAGCACTGGGGCCGTCGGTCGAGCTCCCTACGGGGCAACGAAACGCATGCGGGAGGTAGCACTGGGGCCGTCGGTGGAGCTCTCTATGAGGCCACGAAGCTTTGTACTTCGTGGTGGGGACGCATGCGGGCGGTAGCAGTGGAACCGTCGGTGGCGGTGGAGCTCCCTATGGGGCAACTGTACTGGGTGGGGGGGACGCATGCGGGCGGTAGACCTGGAACCTTTGGTAGAGCTCCCTGTGGGGTCATGAGGCGCTGTACTGGGTGGGGGGGCGCATGCGGGCGGTAGCACTGGAAACGTCGGTGGAGCTCCCTATGGGGCCACGGAACGGTGTACTGGGTAGGGGGGGACGCATGCGGGCGGTAGCACTGGGGCCGTTCCTGGAGCTCCCTATGGGACCACGAAGCGCTGTACTGGGTGGGGGGAAGCATGCGGGCGGTAGTATTGGAACCTTCGGTGGAGCTCCCTATGGAACCACGAAGCGCTGTACTGGGTGGGCGAAACGCAGGACGGAAGGAGGAGGGGTAGGAGGGAGGAGGGGGAGGAGGAGGAACTCGGGGCGCCGTCTTTTCAAAACGAGGACCCAGCACAACAGGATGGTTAGGAAAACATGATAGTGTGTGTGTGTTGTGTGTTGGGTGTGTTGGGTGCTGTGTGTTGTGTGTATGTTGTGTGTGCATGTTGTGTGTTGTGTGCTGTGTGTTGTGTGTTGTGTGTTGTGTGTGGTGTGTGTGTGTTGTGTGTGTGTGGTTGTGTGTGGTATGCGTGCGTGTGCGTGTGCGTGTGCGTTTGCGTGTGCGTGTGCGTGTGCGTGTGCATGTGTGTGTGTGCGTGTGCGTGAGTGCGTGCGTGCGTGGGTCCGTGGGTGCATGTTTGCGCCGGTGTGTGTGTGTGCGTGCGTGTGTGTGTGTGTGTGTGTGCTTGCGTGCGTGCTTGCGTGCGTGAGTGTGTGTATGTGTATGTGTATCTGTATGCGTGTATGTGTATGTGTATGTGTATGTGTATGTGTATGTGTATGTGTATGTGTATGTGTATGTGTATGTGTACGCGCATATGTGTGTGTGCGTGTTTGGGGGGGAAGGGGTGTATGTGTGTATTGCGTGGGCGTGTGCGATTGTATGTGTGACCCTGCGTGTGGCACCAGGCGTTACCACTGCAACCTCATGCCTCGTCAGTGAGACCTCCAAAGAGAAGCCTGGCTGCGGGCTCCTGCATCTTCGTGTCGATATCAGACTTGAGGCCCTTCGCTCTTGCCTTCACAGTGTCCCACGACTCGCCAGCCATTGGTCAGCAGAGTGCGCCCAGCAGAGGGGCGACGAAACAAGCTGCGCCAGAGCAGCTGCGGCTGCCAGCGAGGGTGAGGACGAACAGAGGGTTGCATAGGCCGACAACGCTCCCCGGGCACACTCGGGCGCTTTAGAACTCCTGGACGCCAAGTTGAATGTTCCGCCTGCCCTCTGGGAATGCTTGGGAAGATTGAAGGAAACTGCAAAAGAACCCCTCCGTCTCCTTCAGGGAAAAGTTTGCCCATCCCCCAACCTCCACCTCACAAGACTCGCCCATCGCCTAGCCATGCAAAGAAGGCGGTTCGCACCTAAACGCGCGTGTGTACATAGCGTGATACGTGCAAAACGTGAGACCACGTGGTTGCTGATTGGAGTTGTTCTCGATGTCAGGGGTCGACTCGATGGATTTGTTGTCGATCTCTGGGCCCGGCTCGACCTGGCCTCAACATGGCTTTCAATGTTGACAAAACTCAAACCACATCGGAGCCGAAAGGGCTCCCTAAACTCATATACGTTCGGGCATTTGGGGAGACTTCTGGGAATGATTTGGGAGGCCGCGAGGTTGCCTGGGGGCCATCAGGAGACTTTGTTCTGGCGCACGTCCGGTCGAGCTGATGACAAATTCCCCTTTTGAGAGTTCGGATCATATCTGGGGGCGCGGGTCCATGTTTTGCCCACCCACCCTGTAGTGTTGGCTTCTCGTTTGGAATCCGAAGCGCCCCGAATCAATCCTTCTCCCGCTAACACCCTCCCCTCTGCTCCTGGCCGTCTGTCCTTTCAGGGCAAGCTACAACTACTGCAACGGCAACATCTGCAGCACTGGCCGCACCTGCAGCTTCCTCTGCCCTGTGATTTCCAACCCTCTCTTGGGTGTGCTTCTGCTTTGAACTAAAAACTGTTTGCTCGAACCTTCCTCCCGCCTCCTTCCTTTTGCCTCTGCTCTTAGTCATGTCGCTTCGTCTTGCCCCCTCCTCCTTCTTAACCCGCCATCATTATAATGTATTATGCTTCGAGCTATTCCCACCGAAACCTTCGGCGTATGTTATAATGTGATATGTTATGTCATGGTGTGTAATCGTATGCTAGGTTATGTTGTGTCTGCTATGCTCTGTGTGATCTAGTATGTCATGACTCCTGTGTCATGCTATGCAGTGCTTTGCTATGGTGTAGCAACGCATGCCACGATATGTTATGGTATGATTTGCCATGGTATGTAATGGTACGTATTGTGATGCTCTGGTATACAATCTGATGATCTGATCTGCTATGTAATGTCATGGATGCTCTGGTATGTCATAGCATGCATTGTTACGCTACGTTGTGCTATGGTATGCTATGCCATGGTGTGTGATAATGTGGCATGTTGTGCTTTGGTGTGTTCAGTTTTGCGGTGATTTGCGATGGTGTGATTGATTTGTCATGTTATGGATTGACATGTGCTGTGATGCTGTGCGATGGCATGCACTGCTCTGAGATGGTGTGTTATGTTACGATATGGTCTTTCATGATATGGTATGGTATGCTCGGATATGCTATGTTCGGTGGTGTGGTTTTTGATCTGTTGTGTGGGGGATCTGGGGATCTGGCGGCCGCGGTATGCAGAGTGGGCGAGTCGGCGCGGGGGGGCGGGACCACCAAGGATTTTCGGGAGCCTGGTGATCTGGCGGCCGCGATATGCAGGGCGGGGGGAGGGCGGGACCACCGTGGATTATCGGGAGCCTGGGGATCTGGCGGCCGCGGTATGCAGGGCGGGCAGGCCGGGAGCTCTGTTCTCAAAATCTCTCGAGCCCAACACTGTCGGGGGGGACAACTGGCAAGGAGAGCATGGAAGGCAGGATGGAGGGAGGACACGAGCGACCAGCTCATGTTATTTTTATGAGCGGCAATCGCTGCGCTGACAATGGCGGAAGTCACCTGAACATCTCTTGGGCCTCTTTTGGCGGGATGAGCAAAGCGGTCTTGTTCAGATCAAGCGCTGCTGTCTGCAGACGGAGTTCACCTTCAAGTCGGCACAACAACCTGACACGCCCGTGCGCGAGTGGCATACCTAGCGACCCGCTGAGAACTCCCCGTCGCTGGAGGACGATGCGGCAAACCCGCGAGCTTCTGCCGAACAACTTCCCGAATAAACGAGAAGAACAAATCATATAATTTTTGGACGCGAGCGAACCCGCGAAATTGTGCCGAACAACTTCCTGAACAAATGCATGACAAATCTCTAGAAAGCTTCCACCGCAAACAAGCCCGCTAAGCTGTGTCGAACAACTTCCAGACCAAATAACAAACTCTCAACTTGCAATGATAAACCTGGAACCTGAACTAACAAACGAACGACAACAAATACGCGCACTGCAACCGATTCGCACAGACATTCAAGGATTGCTAATCACGGAGCGTCGCTGAATACTAGGACTGCTCGCTCTAATACTGTTTCTGCCGCTTTCTTCCCGCAATGTTAGAGAGCAAACCAGAGAAAAAATAATACAAAACTGAAGCGATAAGTGTTCCCAAGAAATAGTTTCATCAAAAACACCATTGCTCGATGAATTGTTGCTTCACCGTTGTTAAGCTAAAAACTAATTGAGATCCCGCCCTGCATTACACAATGTACTCACCACGAATACACGAGGACGGATAACTTCGCGCATAGCCTCCAAAACCGTGTCTCTGAATTGAAACGCCGGCGAACGTGGGGAGCGAAATCCACGTATTGCGATAGATGGGAAAACACGACGAATCCGATAGAAAGCCCTCAGGGCTTCACCGAGGCGCACAAGCGAGACAAAAACGCAAGACGCTGCTAAACTATTCCAGGATATCTTGAGAATGAACATGGAACAAAGTATTGAGTACAATCGTTGTGCTCTCATTTGCTGCAAAAGTGGTGTATATGCAACTTCTTGCGGGATCAATCATACATCATACAACCAGGTGTCGACACACTTGAAACCCACAAAACGCAAACGTTCTAACAACTGTGCGCAAACTTTAGAGCATGAGCGCACACTCCAGGATAACACTGCACACATTGACAACAACTTACACCTTGAAACGCGACGCATAAAATAAAAACAATGCACAATTGAAACACAATTTCCAACAACAATACGCAAAACATAGAACACACATGTACGAATTAGACAACCAGCTCACAATCTCCAACAACAGGGCAACACAGACGACATCAACGCATATTGAAAAGCAGCAAAACACAACTCGAACAACTCTACGCATACACAGACGGCGATTGACAATGGCCTAGGTCATAGTAATGCCTTAGGGCAAGATACCAGTTTATGTTTGGAGAATCATTAGTTTTAGGACACCGTGCACACTGTAACATACGAATGCGTTCTTTTGGTCCTATCTGCCTCGCGACAACACTTGCTTATCACATCTCTTCCGGGTGCAGAAGGCGCACGGCTGCCAGGCAAGACCTGGGCAGTGGGCCAGGCACAGTGGAAGAAGACGAACAAAAAAACTCACGCACCAGCGCCTGACCGCCTGGCAAGCCCGAGGCCTCAGGGCAGCGCGAAAGCAAGAGCCAAACATCCACATCCCGACGGCCTCTGTCGGCTCGAGATCGCGGCGACGGCCGAAGCGACCGTGCATCAACAAAACGCTGGTCACCTCAAGTCAAGGCTTCTCGGAGCCAGGGACTCCGAGGATGTCTCAGGCGAAACGGGCCTGAGCACATCGCGGACTACATCTCGGGACCAAAATTAGTGAGAACGTCTCAAGCGAAACGGGCCAAAGCACCTCAATTCAGGGTATCTCGCAGTAGCCCGGGGTTCGGAGGATGTCTCAGGCGAAACGGGCCTGAGTACCTTACGAACCACATCTTGGAACCCCTCCCCCGCGGCGATGCTCGAGAAACTCCCTCGCGGCCAGCCTGTAGGCTGCGAGGAAATTTCTCGAAATGGCCTCCACCTCCCCCCCATCCTCAACTAGAACCGCGCGCGCTTCGCGCGCGCTCGTGTTGTAGCACATGCCATTGCGTTGTTAGCTGTGCGTGCTTTTCGGACCGGCTCAGCCCATGCCTTGCCTTACCTCGTCCTCCGATATTCCTTTTACGTCCTTCCTCGTTAACCCTCCAATCATTCTCGGTTGTCCTCGCTTTGCGTTTCTCGCTCTTATCGACGGCCTCCTCTCGATTGGGATTATGCGGTGGCTTCGAGCTGTTAAGGGCCGGCTTGGGAGATCTTTAATATGCAGTGGGCTGGCTTGAAGTGTACGGATCTCGTGGGGATCTTCCTGTTTGGGCTGCCTTGAAAGTCTTGGGGCCCGCTTGGGGCCCTCTTGGGCTCTTCTTCGAAGCTGTGGGGCCGTCTCGAGCCTCGGCGCCATGTGAAGATCTCCCGAAGCCATCCGAAGGAGACGAGCGTGAGATTTACTGAATATGGAAAATCCTGAATGATTTTTGCGTTTATGGCTCTCTGGGGTCATTTAGGAGGGCCTTTGGGAGCTCCACTGGGGCATCTTGTGGCCCCTTGGGGCCACCTTGAAAAATCTTGGAGCGTCTTGGACCACCAAGGGGCAATCTTGGCGGCCAGCGGGCGTCCTCCTGAACCAGCTCGGAACCCTCTTCAGGCCGAAAGAGTCCCCCAAAGACCCCAAAGCGGATCCCGGAGCCAAGGGCGGCAATTTGGGTTGCGACGGGGGGAGTTTGGGAAAAGTGGACCGCCCCAGGGCCACCCCGGGTCCCCTCCCCCATGGGCGGTCCCGTCGTCTTCGTCCGTCGTCCGACGTCCGTCGTCCGTCCGCCCGCCATGTTGTTTCTCTATGATAGCTCTGCCGCGGGGACCTTCTCTCGCTTGCTCTCAGGAGAAGGTGCCGTGGATGCAGCGACCAGCACTGTACATGAGCTGCTGCCCTGGGCTGCAGCTCGCTGGAGACTGCTGCGTGAAAGGCGCTGCTACCCTGGGCTGCAGTGCCGCGCAACTAACTACCCCAACATTATTTATACCACACGGCACTTGAACGAGAGATGGACACGCT